TAAACAGCTTTTTCCATTAACTTGCTCAATGCAGGTAGAACTGATATTGGACGGTAATTAGTTGCGTTCGCTCTGTCCCCAGATTTGTACAAAGGAAATACCTTCGAACATTTCCAACTTGAAGGGAATGTATGATTTTGAATGGATCGATTTATGAGCTTTGTAATCGAAGGAGCAATTATTTCTGATGCATCTTTAAGTAGCTTTATATTTATCTTGTCCTTGTTTATATTTATCTTGTCCAATTCGTGACAAAAAAATATATGATGTAGTATAAACGGGTTTAAAATTAAAAGAACATACTTAAGCTGTTTCAGTATATGCTGTTGGCTGTTGTGTATTTTCCTTCTTTTTATATTCTATATATTTTAACACAAACTTAAAAAGTCGTAATTTATGAACTTGTGAGTTGTGCCGCCATTTTGTTTATTTATGTACGTAGCCGGTCGGGGCGGCAACAATTTTTCACTTGTTGCCCAGCAGGATACATTGCATTTATCTAAAGCCACGTGACCACAAATCAGCCATTTGCGCTTGTTGTCCACCCTAGCTATTAACAATGTTTTTCGTTACATTGATTTCAGTTGGTTAAAGGTCATGGCATGCAAAAGCAGCAATTTTATCCCACCCCACCGACATCAGTTAAGCCCGATTTTTGGGATCGACCTCCAATCCTGTCAGTCTCACAAAAGACTGCAGAAGCACAGCAAAAGATAATTGACGTGGTCAGTGGAGATTCAGAGTACACTCGACAGTATTCAGCAAATGGATCAAGGAATCCTAATCAGTCTGTCTTGGGCACACATCCAGTCCATGAATGCCAGAAGAAGGTAAGTTACATAGTATAAAACAACAATAATGAACGTCTTTGATACGTACTGATACGTGATCGTTAATTTGAGCTGATACTCATTCTTTACCATGTGTACATTTATCATTTATAGACCTGAAGCCGGAGTCAGAGTCCCCCGAGCGGAGGATCTATAAATTATAAATTATAAATTATAAATTGCCGATTATAGATATAATTATAGCCTATATGATAAATGCCTCCAAGTTGAAAATATAGAACTTGACTATACGATGTTATTGTTTTATCTTTTTATTAACGCAAGTATTTGCAACTTTTCTTTCACATCGCATATCGTTTGGAATATTGATGATAACATTTTTCAAACTTTTTTCAAAATTTTCGAAAAAAAGTAGTTTAATTAAAAACTGAATTATTCATCAAGGCTTGTATATTTTGCCAGCTATCTTGTTTACCTGATCACCGCGCGTGTTTTACGCGAATTATGTCACCGACCCGGGTGACATGATCAAATCGTCATGCAACGTAACACTTTGTTTCTCCAGTAAAAGATTAAACAGTTACATGTACAATTCATCAAAGCTGTTGTTTCTGTCCAGAATGCTGCGAGGTTTACATTATCCAAAGTATATGTTGTTTCTGGCGAATTTCTTCGTAGTACAATGTAGACGAATGCTGGAGTGGATAACACCATAACACAAGCGACCATGTGATATAATTCAAGTCACCCGACGTAAGGCGCGATTCGATGATAAATTCCATGCTCACGTGACATAAACTTAGCTTTCTGGTTGGACACTTTAAATTTGAGGTATAATATGTAAGCAAAAAGGATGGTTTCAAGTGCAACTGCATGATATAAAGACGATTGCGATTTTGAAAATCGCAATCGTCTACCGCGATTTTGAAAATCGCAAACCTACGATTAATTAAAATTGTAATTTGCAGTTACCAGCGACCAGCGGCCAAATGCTTCTTGCCGTGCCCTATACCACAACGTTTGCAGTCACATTTGTCTTAATTTCTTCGTATTTTAAAACTTTGCTTTAAAAATATGAACTGAGAAATTAAGACAAGATGTGATTGCTTTCTTCACGCGGGTGAAAATAGCCGAGAGTCAAGTATAGTACCCACGCTACGTGCGTTGTTCGGGAATATATATATATTCCTCACTAAGTTGGTTTGATTTGGTTTATTTAGATGTCCCTTGAGGCAAAAAAATCATTAGACGGAAAGGAAGCGCAACCGTACGATACAACGTATGTCAAGGATTATTCCGCAGACGTAAATACCAATACCCCCACTTCCATTTTGCGCACAGCATCAACAAAGAAGATAAACGAAGCAAAACGTAACAGAAGTGTTAAATTCAGTGAAAGTGTAACAATTTCAAACGGTTACAAGACATCTTCCAGTTTCGTGAACGACATGGGGAAAGATAACAACCATCAACATGCTTTCCAAAGTTTAAACAAACCTTGGACAACCATTGCAGCCGAAACAGAAAGGCCATTGACTGCACCTAGTATTCAACGACAATCCATACTTACGACCACACCACTTTTATTCCCTGCCGCTCCCCTAACCCAGCTTTACACAAATACGTTGCAGTACCGACCAAGTAGTACGGGAAAATTCGGGACACTCAGAAATGATTTACGTCATCTTCGGGGAAATTATAGCAAGTCAGCAACGCACAGAAAATTCCACAGTGAGTTTCCAGAAAATGCTCCAGACATTCGTAGAGCGCCAGACATGCGAATCACAACCAATGAACGACGTCACGTGATTCCGGAAATTGGTTGCCATAGCTACTACTTTCATGGATGAAGTGTTTTCAAGGAGTACTTGAGGTGGTGCATGTTGATATCTTGTTCTTCAAACTGATTCAGCCAGAACTGTAGAGTGCTTACCATTGTTGTTTTGCTACAAACATTTAACGCAAAACGTGGTTTCTAATACTGTTCAAGATAGTTACTTAATAACAACTATTCGCCTCATTGTTGGCAAATAGTGCAAGGACATATTGACCGAGACACGAAGAGTCGAGGTGATTATTCTTGCAATGTTTACAGAGACTGATGTGAATAATCATTTTAGTATATACTGCAAACAAAAATAATAAATAAATCACATATCCGCATCCCCTCATGGCTTTACAGTTGATTTCACGAAACTTTGGCCGTGCCAGTTGCGAGGTTGGTTGGGAATTTGGGAACTATAAACATAAGATCACCAAGTTGATTGGAAACCGGCCAATCAAATTCGGAAGTTTCGCATCAAATTATCGGCGAAATTCGTTATGAAATTCCGAACCAAGTTCGCAAGCAAGTTCGCAAATTGCAAACGATTTTGGCGGTAAATTTTAAAAACTAAACTTATTTTATTAAACTATTATAATTTTAAACCTGAAATTATTATTGTTATGATATTATCTATTATTAAATGAATAAGTTTAATAAAATAAGTTTAGTTTTTAAAATTTACCGCCAAAATCGTTTGCAAATTGCGAACTTGCTTGCGAACTTGGTTCGGAATTTCATAACGAATTTCGATAATTTGATGCGAAACTTCCGAATTTGATTGGCCGGTTTCCAATCAACTTGATGATCTCTTGTTTATAGTTCCCAAATTCCCAACCAACCTCGCAATTGGCGTAACCAAAGTTTCGTGAAATCAACTGTAAAATAAGCTATACATAAATAATAAATCCCGTATACAAGTAAAACTCTCCTTTGTGCTTTTATATAATATTTGCCTTACTATGTAATGTACTAAATTGCGATAGAGAGGAATCAATTAGTCCACTATACAAACTTTAATACTTTTAATAGTTTCCTTATAATAACACATGACATAAAAATTTTGTCCCCAATCAGTATGCATCACTTGAAAGTAGCTTGAAAATGATGAAGAAATGACCTGGACAATTTATTCACAGCTCATCTCATTCCCAGGTCATCGGGTATTTTGTATTTTTGTGTTACGACGTCACTATTTGTGCTTAAGATGGCAAAAAGAGAAAACTTTAATATCTCAGAAATGATTCAACGAAATTAAATGAAATTTTGCTGACAGTTAGTAAGTACACCTAAGCTTACTTAAGCCAACAATTTGGAACGTTTATGTGGTTGTCATAGCAACACACTGGTTACCAATAACGATATTCTGTATAACAAAGTCTTTATTTGGGTATTAAAGGCCGGCGTATTTATTTGCAATCGATCACTTTATATCATTATAATCCCCCATAACTTATCTGTCGTGGTTACAGAGGACCCTTGAATTGTTGAAATTCACCTAAAAATATTTTTGGTTCTGATCGAAGCTCTTTATAGTAGTTCTAACATTTGACAAATTTCGAAGGAAACAATTTGAAAACTCAACGAGTTACTAATAAATAGAATATTTTTGCTATACTCGCTAGTGGCGATTTTCGGCCGAATAATTAATTTATTGATTCTATGCCCTTATGTGGTACTATATACAGCTATTTCAATTAAGGTTGTCCTCGAGCAAAGCGGAAAAGTCAAATACGAGCGCGAAAGGCTGCTGGTTTGATTCCCATGCAGCAGCCTTTCGCGCTCGTATTTGACTTTATGTCAAAACAAATTACTTTTTCTGTAATCTCGTCAGTCAAGAGCTGTTGTCCCCGAACCAACAACGCGAAGCGCCGTTCCGGGCGTAAGGCCGGGGCGAGGATATACTCCAACGCTATACTTTCAGATAAAGTTGCCCATGTTTGCCTGAAGCCAATTCTGAACCCCAAACACGCGTTTCTAGGGATCGAGATCCGCGTGTTTATGCCTCGCGATTCTCTCGCGAGACCAGTTCAGGAATAGCGTGCCGTTTTATTGAAAGAGTGTAATCATAGTTAATAGGATAGATGGTTTGGAAATTCATTAGAATAACAATAATATAACTCATTATCTATGTTAGTGAACGTTTATTCATAAATCTGGTCTTTCACCGTCACGTGCGTATTGTATTTTTGCCCGACTAACCAATTATAGCAATGTTTTAGGAAAGTTACCTATCCGTGACTCGAACAATAGTGTAATTGGAAATTGCTATTGGTGGATATGGCAAAAATAATAATAATAATAATACAATACACACGTGACGATGAAGGAACATATTTATGAATAAACGTTGACTAACAGATAATGAGTTATGTTGTTATTCTAAGGAGTTTCCAAACCATCTGTTCTATTAACTATGGTGTAATACACGCCAAAGCTGAAAGCAGGCAAGATTTATATTATATCAGTTTTCTATCATTGATATTTAAATAAAAATAAGGTTCCATAAGGCATCACAAGCAAATGGAAAAAATGGGCCTCGGGGCGATCAAGACATTGTATTTTATACAAGATAATTTTGTAATTAGTAGATAGTATATTTGAACTTCCATGGCAGCATACACTGAATTGCAGAAGTTTTATATTATGATTAGATATAGATCAACCAGACTGACGTGAAGCAGACCGAGGTAGACTTTGAGCTTACAAATGGCGCTTGAGCAGCCGCTATTAGTCCCATACCTCATTAATGATCGGCCTCCAGACCTTATGTGCCTAACCCACCCTGTCAACTTTCCTGTGGGAGGAAACACGGAGTACCCGGAGAAAACCCACGACTTTCGGCAGAGCGTTGACTTACTCTTTTCACATGAGGACTGGGTTCCAGTCACAATGAGAAGTCCTCATTGGGATTCGGACCTGCGACCTTAGAGGTGAAGGCAAGTGCGCTAACCACTTCGCCACGGCTTTGCTACCCTGGTTCCAGAGGTTTATTTTTATTATTTTCATTGCAAAGGGGAGAGGAAAAATAAACCTCTGGTTGAAAGCGGCAATTGATTCATCGAGCCGCGCCAATCAGTTTGAATTAGGGTCAGATCCTGACTCTGTCTCCTGATTGGATTATTGGATTAAAGCTCTCTGATTGATTCAAATAAAACATCTATAACCAATTAGCTAGAGAGCTTTAATACAATCATCCAATCAGGAGACAGACTCATTTAACGCAACCTCGCAATGTGAAAAATAAGTGCGTTATTTGAAGGCACCTCGCGGATATGTGTTTATTCACCTCGGCGCTGCGCGCCTCGGTGAATAAATCACATATCCCCTCGTTGCCTCAAAATAACCTATACATATTGAAGGTTCATCAGATGAGCAAAGTCTCTCACCAAAGAATTTTTTATGAGCTTGGAAACTGGAGTGAATGATACTTAACTTTTTGTAATTAGTGTATGATCTTCACAATTCTATATAGAATGTCCCCACATATTGCAGGAAATTCGCTTTTAGAGAGCCTAGATTACAAAATTTCTGTGGATGCATGCCCCTTGAACTCCTTTACTGGTTTGTCACGCCTAAGCCGCCTTCATTTGCCAAGGCGAAAATATTTCTTTCTTGCAAACACGTGATTATAAAACTATATGCGTGCTGTCGAAACTTAGGTAAAATTCCAGTTAAAATTTTGATATACGCGATGCATTCGTATTTATATCGCATGAACTTGCTCTCACCAAGGCATGCGGTACAACACGACTACCGATCGACGCATCCAGACTTGCGCAGATATATATATATATATATATATATATATATATATATATATATATATATATATATATATATATATATATATATATATATATATATATATATATATATATATATATATATATATATATATATAGAGAGAGAGAGAGAGATATATAGATATAGTCTTAGTATATATTGTAAATCTCTGTTTCACCCATCATAGCTAGGGCCGTTGGAAAATTTTATGATGTCAGAGGCCCCCTAGGAAAGTTTTGCCCTGGTGCCCACCGCAATCACAGAGGACGTATATACAGAGAGTTCACTCAAGCCAAAACCAGTCACACGCACGATCGACCATACTGTGCATGCGTAACTTCCCAGCCAGTACCGTGAAATTTTTTTATAAGGAAATAGATGGGGAAATCCGAATTTTTGTCATAAAAACAGCGATTTTAACGAAACTACCCAGGTGATTTGCTGTTTCGTTTTAATTTCAAGAAAATGGGTTAGACTGGACATTTTTAACAACAAATGGGGCTACAAACACTACTTGAACGCTGCGAAAAGGGAAAATTATACTCGAAGGAGTGAAGTTCGAAACTTGTGTTGACAAGTCAAAAAGAGATTAAAAAGTTGTTCTACACGATGTTCTATACTCCAGTTGTGTCGTTTTTGCGGCAGAAAAGCTCAGAAGTTGTTCAGAATTGACATTCCAGTATATTTCGTATCGTATAACGTTCAGGTAAGAGCATAATTTTTCAACGAGAAAAAAACTAGCAAAAAACAAGTCTCGACCAAAATGTCTCAGTCTTTGAGAGTTCGATACGTGTGTTGATCTGATTTAAATTGTGTATTTTGATTGTCAGGATATTATCCCATTAAGTACAAACTGAACTTGCCAAACAGAGAGTCTTGCCACTGAAATATACTCCCGGCAAATAGTTTTGTTCGCTTTATAGGATATCACAATCTGTGGGCAGACCGCTCCTTCAACTTTCAAAATCAAATAAAAGTTTTTCAAAAGCTCAACCGTACTTCTTATGCGAATAGAAAAGATCACTTACTGTTATTGTTGAAAATTTTTGTCCAGATATGAAGCTCGAAAGCCTCTTTTCCTTAAAAATGCCACTTTTTGCATTTCGAACTGCGTTTTCCCTATAGTTTTGACTGAAAACACAGCGACGGTACTGGCTGCGGCATATTAAATTTTTTTGAAACATTTAATTTGCTTTCGCAAATCCGTGTGACGTCCTAAACACTGCATTTTTCACCGAGTGAACTCTCTTTATATCTTTACTCTTTGGTGTAGTGCTGATGAGCAGGATGAAAGTAACCACTATATATATATATATATAGTTTTTCGTTTTACCTGTTTCATCCGTATAGGAATTATATATATATATATATATATATATATATATATATATATATATATATATATATATATATATATATATATATATATATATATATATATATATATATATTCACAATCAACAGACATACATGTTTCGGCGTTCTACGCCTCGTTAGCTATATATACATATATGGGAAATCGATAATTTTGTATAGTTAAAAGTCACATTTTCCGGCCATTTGTTCATTCAAAGTTCACATTTTGGCCATCACGTTTAAACAACCACAATGCAAAGCGCTACGAAAGCGTAACAAGGGGAATCTAGTATTTCCAGCCTTACATGCATGCACGTGCAACTTTCTCAGATAACTGATCATGTGCTTACTTGATTTACATCTGTTTAATATTAAATTATTTACATGTTACATTAACACTTCAGAACCCACAATTTCTTTCATTTCCTGGAGATTATAAGTGATGGTGTTGTATTTCATTTTGAAAATGAGTTTAGATATGAAAAATTGAAGATTCCACTTTTAGATTCGTCTTCCGTGAGTTCCTTCCATTTGATCGACTATCAAGTTTCAAAATGTTATTCTCTTCCGAGCCAGTTTCATTTCGTATTTTCTATATCGTACGATTTTTCCTCTTTCGGGTTGTTTTTGCAAAAAAATGGTCACTTTCACATTAACAGGAACTTGTCCAAAAATTGTTTTTATATTAATATAAACTTATCTGGTATATGCAACAATTTTACATCGGAGTCTGACAACTTCACTGAAAGATCACCGAATGCTGGTCGTATCTAAACCAAGACAACAAACAGTTGAAGAATACCTAAATGATGTAAGGCGACATGGCACGCAAAATAGCAGAGATGATTATGGCATTCCTACATTGTGTTCAGCTATTGAAAAGTTTCGTTCGCCCTACCTAGTTAAAGCACTTTTAAAAGATGGTGTTAAGCGCGTGTGGGCGGTGTATAAAATGGTGGGGAAATTTTTCTTCCATACATCTCGCCGTTTCGTTAGGTCTCTACGAAGTTGTTAAATTATTATGGGAGCACGGAGCTGATCTGAAATCTAAGACGACTAGAGGAATTGAACCAGTAGACTTTCTCTTCAATAACATATATTCAGTACGATCACTAGAAAACCACGATGTCCGAGTTTCCGAAGCTGAAGATTATGAAATCCTGAAACTAATGTACGCCGCTGGGGTGGATCTAGATACGAAGGACAAATGTTTCAGACAATCAACTTTACTTCATCGTGTAACCAAACTGAACAACGAAGAAATTACAAGATATTTAATTAATCTTGGCTGTGACGTCAATTGCGTTGATAGCAATGATAAGACGCCATTGCGACACTGTGTTGTTGATGCATTGGAATGTGCTAGAATTCTTCTTCAAAATAATGCTAATCCTAACTCTCGGGATAATTTCGGTAATACTATTTATCACGACATGATGAGTTACAGATATTTGGGAAATTCAAATTGTCCTCTTCATTTTTTGCGTCTGTTACATGATTATAATGTTGATCCAAATGCTCGCAACGATGTTGGGCAGACAGCTCTGCATGTTTATTTTGACAATATGATACCAGGAGTGAGAACTGAGAAAATGATAGACACAATGTTGAAATACGGTGCTGATCCCAACATCACAGATGAACTAGATAGATTGCCTATATATTACTTGATTGGATGCTCACATAAAACCTTGGATGCATGGAATATTATATGGTCATTATTAATCAAAACTCTTGATTATGGTGCGAATTTGAACAAAGTCGATATTATCGGAAAGCCGCTGCTTCATGAGCTGGTAGAAAGTTGTTTATCCTGTCCGAAATATTTTGATTCAAAATTGTTCAAGGAAGTCTTTCGTTCAAGGTATAATGTTGAAGTGAATTGCCAAGATCTTCATAGTCGAACAGCACTTCATTTAGTATCAGCGAAAGGAAACTGGACAATGGCAGAAATTCTTATAAATTATGGCGCAGATATCAAAACTGAGGATTGCGACGGTAATACTCCCTTAGATGTTGCAATATTGTGTAAGCAATGGGCATTTGCTAGAAAATTGCTTCTCTTGCCGTTAAGACCCTGTACCATCGTTGATTACACTTTAACGAACGAACATGCCAATTCAAGTGAAGGAAATCCGGGAGCTTTAAACCGATTCAAACAAGTTTGCAGAAACAACAATCAACAAGACCACATTTACCATATTTTTCAAAAGAAGAATAACAGTTTCCTGCACTGTTCGACTGAAGAAATTCGTCAAAATATCAAAGAAAGATTAGACAAATTCCGCCGAACTATGTCACTGGCCAATACGTGCATGCAACAAGATAAAGCATGTTTAAATTCTGGGCGACAGTGCGCAGAATGGACCCCAAACAAGCTTGATATAATAGCAAAACATGTTGAACAGGGTAAAGTTCTCTTTTTGGACGGAGTAGAAGCAGAAATGCGTTTCTGTGGAAATACAGTATGTCCTGTTCCGATAATACACGGGAATATCTTCAATGAGATTAATAAATCGTCATTGTTTGAGATGTGTGAAGAAAACAGCGTTGGCGAATTTCATATCATTGAAGAATGTGGGGAAGAACACTGCCTAATTGCAAAACAAGTATTTTGTTTGATGACAGATCTTGTACAGAAATGCTCAGAAATTGATCCGAGATTAGAAAGCAACATTTTATGGGCCGGGAGTAGTGCAGAAGGAACGAAGATGTGGTTTCCTGATGAATTTGATTTCCTGATGGAGCTTGTGGGATTGCGAGACAAATGTGAATTTAATGATCCAATGTGGACCACAGCTAAGCTTCTCGTAAAAGAGGGGTATCAAGAGTCGTGGTCAAATTTTTGTCTTGAAGACTCGTACATTCTTTCCAACGTCAAGCTAAAGAAGTATATCTCAACGTTGCTATGGAAAGCTGCTTGTCTCTTGGATAGGAGGAAATATAAGAATATTCGCTTCAGTTTATGCAAGTACGACAAAATCCTGCATACATTCATTAAAACAACGAAAGTTGGTGTCAATATTACAGTTTGTTGGTGCGGTGAGAAATATAAGAACTTGATAATCAGCATAGATTTGACACCAGCAATATCCGTCACTCTCGCAGAAAAACAGTTCTCAAGGATTCATAAACACGGTGTTAGAAGATTGGTTGATAATCATATTCACGTTATTCCGTACGTTAAACATGGTGAACACGGCCTCGAGTGGCGACCCTCATTTTCGCTTACGGAAGTCCACATTATGAAAAAATTACCACGGAAACAGATCGCGCTTTATAAAGGTTTGAAGTTCTTTCGGGATATTCACGAGAGTGTTTTCGCAGCAATTCCTTCATATTATTTAAAAACTTTCTTTTTTAACTATATCTTTCTGGACAGTAGTGGTCGTGACAACTTTTTGGTTGAGCATGAAAATTTTCATTCCAGTTTGTGTCGCATTCTTTATCGCCTGAATCTAGTTGCTTGTTCTCTGCATGCCGATGGAAACATCCAACATTTCTTCTTAAATTATCATCTTTATCTAAGTGATTATGATATGAGATGGATAAATTCTACTCTGAATATTCTTGAAAATTGCTAAACTACGTGTACGTTCTTATTTAATAAAGGGTTAGTGTCAATTTGCTGCTGGTAGCCATTTTATGGCCCGACTACGATCAAACGTATATTTAAACCATTCTTTGAGAATTATTGCTCATCAGTCATGTTATCTAATTCTTACTGCAAAAGTACGAAACAAGGTATTTTTATCATAATTTGTTAATTTGGGTAAGATAAAGACAACCCACGCTACAATGGTATGACACTAATCCTTTAACGTATAGCTGCAGTAGGTTATAAACCGAGAACGCGGGATATAAGTCATATATTGGTTATAAATTCATGTTTCGCTACTTATGAATGTTGACCCTAATCCTTACGCCCGTATTCTAAAAGCTCACTCACACTCGCACTCAATGAGTGGAGGTTCAATCTGAGCTTCTCTTGAGTGTCGTTGCTGTTTTTGAATAGCTGGAAAGTTAATGTCGTACCTTACTATGTGACTACTCACCATCCAGCTATTCAAAAACAGCTATGTCACTCAAGAAAAGCTCAGATTGAACCTCCACTCATTGAGTGTAAGTGTGAGTGAGCTTTTAGAATACTGGCGTTACCCTATACCCAACCCTAACCGCTGATTCTAACTCATAAATAGCGAGACATGAATATATTGACCCCGAGGCCAAATATATACCCTTGCAAGTTCGAAGTTTATAAGCGACTTATTCACTGGTTGCAATTGAGGAGGTTTTCGAATAAGATTTCATTAATTTCAAAGACTCAGTTCGATCAAGATTTTTCGAGTTTAGTCGACATGTATTCTCTTACTATTTGTTCACCGGTTATAACTTATAACCTGTATACATCCCGCGGTACATCAAAGAAAACCAACTCAACTAGTAAATAACTACGTATATAAACTCCCATAAAACGTTGCTGCAGAAAAGTGAAAACGACCTAATCCAAAAACAGAATGAACAATCGGTAAAACATCTTAGCAACTCGCGAACGTATTAGTTAGTCACTTTATACCGGGTGTCCCAAAAAAAAGTACTCCTGTTTGATTTATAATAACTTCTAAACAAGTAAAGCTATCAAACAGAAATAACTTGCATTACATATAGGAAGGACTAACTTAGATTTTGATATATTACAGTTGTATTTTACTTAAAAATTCACCGAGATATTGTTCAAAATCGGGAGCATATTTTGGGATGTGTCTAAAATTAGCGAAAATCGGCATATCAAATATAAGTCCAGCGTTTGTTTGTTTAAACAAATCAGGCTAACTTGTATTTCAACGAATTGTCGTTAGGATTTGTATAAGGGATATGGCGTAGATTTAGACATCTTAACATGCATGTAAGTCTTAGCTCATGTCATTGTTTCCTGAAATATGAATGTTCGAAATTATGCAAGTATTTAATACTTTAGGTCTTTACAAACTTAAAGGTACATGAAAGACCACTAAGGCAGGCGCTTTTAAAAATTTTTCTTAAATTAAATATAGCCTATTTTTTATGTTTTTCATGCATGGGTTAAAAACAGAGTTGATTATTTCTCGGTTAGAGCAGGATGAATAATATTCTTATTATGAAGGAAATAATATTGCTTTTTGCAAATACACATCACAGTATCGACGCTACTATTTTGTTACGTTTTGTTCCAAAAATGTTGGATG